AGCCAGTACTAGCCAATCACAGCCCAGTGGGACTAGCCAGTACTAGCAGATCACAGCCAAGTTGGACTAGCCAGTACTAGCCGATCACAGCCAAGTTGGACTAGCCAGGACTAGTTGATCACAGCCCAGTGGGACAGCCAGTACTAGTCGATCACAGCCCAATAACCCGGACAAGGAAGAACACTCTTGGGGAAAAGAATAAAATGTCAGCGAAGATGCACGATAACTGTGAATAGTCATTAGTAAATCTTAATTTCCTTTGTACTATCTAGTGTGTAGTTTATAGGGAATAAGTCAATGATTTTGGACACAGCCCTGTTTCTGTAAGAGAAGACATGCCACTCTGGTGTATTACAACACATGTGAAGCCAGTGGTGACAGTTGCTAGCTTTAAGCTCTCACTTGCTACAGCTTGTTGAAACACAGTTAATTGCTTAAGTTATGATTAAAGTTGCAGTGGTGGTTAGGTGTTTTGTAATATACTGTAAGTATTAGACTTGTAGTGTAAATGTAAAAAAAAAATCTGCATTGCTACCGATTTAAACCAGATATATCAGTCACCGTGTTACTATGTGCTGCACATACGAATGTGGGCTGATGAGCTACCAGCGCCCACCTCCCCCTGGTCCTCTGTGTTACTGATTGAGACTTGCTTCTGCTGTGCGTGTGTGTGTGTGTGTGCGTGTGTCTGTGTGCGCAGCAGTGCCACATAAAGATGTGAGTGCAGCGGGCCCGTCGCTAACTCATGCAGCTCCTCCTTAAAAGTCATTCAGCTTCTGAAGCCCACATCCCGATCTGCTCAGCCCCCCCGTCCGTGTAGACAAGAAGCGATCATGAGAGACGACGGCGCACGCCGGGCTCCTCCAGGCAGACCCGCTGCCAGCTGACCTATACGCCCCCCTGGCTGGGCGGGGAGGTAAACCCCCACAAAAAGACACAAAGTGTAGTTTGCGCGTTTTTGGAAGCTAACCCAGCGAGGACTCTCCCCGGTCAGTCTCTTCCACGGCTAATCCTCTCGCATGGCACGGCTCTGGCTGCAGCCCGGTGCCGACGCACAGAGATGCTGCGCCGTGAACGAGGCTACCCGAGAGGTATTAAAAAGCTACCCTTAGCAAGATAAATGTGAGGACAATTGTACATACAGGTGGGTTCATAGATTCAGCAGTTCCTCATTTCAGATGAGGCGGACAGACCAGCGGCAGGTTTGTGCAAAGTCAGCTGGAACAAGATGTGTTGCTTTCCAGCAAAATCAGCAACTGATGGCACGAATGTGATCGCAGTTTACAGAACCTGATCCGTAAATATACACTTTACCCCCCCCCGAGATCCATCAGCCTCCAGACAAAACAAATATCATCGGCAACTCCTGCGAATCTGAGGAGAAACACTCGATCCATGATCTTGAAAATAAAGAGAAATATACCCCAATTCTGTGTGCATTACAATATCAAACCCAACAGAAATCTGTCATAGATGAAGCCTCGTACATCCCACAAAGGCAGCAGGAATACCTTACAGGATATTATTCAGCAGGACTACTTAAAAAAAATAAAAAATAAAGCAGTATCAACAAGTATTGAAAAAAAGAAATCGGAGCAAAGTGAGTGAACCATGAAAACTGACTTCACAGTCACATTGCAACTGTGTCGGATGATATAAGCCTCGGCCGACCTGTGTAGTAACAAAAATAAATAAATAAAATGTAAATGGATTTGGCAGAATCTGAACATGATTCGACTTGACAGAGAGCACAATTAACCACCACATCAACTTTTTTTCCTTTCTTCTTAGAAGACATCGATCGTCCCCAGTATCACAGCACCTCCTTCAAAGTATGAGTCATCGGTTGATGGGAACAAATCAAACGCCCCCCCCCGGGGTGAAAGAAGCTGCTCTTTAGGATTCCGTCAAAAAGAGACTTGGGTCCATTCTCAGGAGATAATTAGAGTGGACGCAGCCATTTCCTCTAAACCGCTGCATCATGGGCTTTTTACACCGACTCAAATCACAACGTGGGGCGTCGCTGGACCCGTCTGACCGGCGGAGTCAAACAGCACGGGTGAAGTGTTGCAGCTCAGTCGATAGATGGGTTCACAGAGAGCGGCACAAATGGTTTTATTATTAAGCGGCGGCGTTGAAGGTTATGTTTTTTCTCTCCTTACACGTGGACTCTATTAACACGTCCTGTGTGTTTTACTACATTTCAGTGTGGTTTAAGTGGGTGCTGCACAAAAACAAAAAAGACTACGGCCAAACCCTTCAGACAAGTGCAGTGTGGAGTGTGATGTGAGTGAATGTGATCTGCCGTGGAGACCGTGGGAGAACGACATCTTTACCTCTGTGGTGGCTGGGAGCTGCTGACACGCCGGGATGAAACGCTGAGTAGGCTCCACTGGAGGCCCTCACTGGGTGATTGGCTCCCGTGGAGGGGGCTGATATTGGCACAAAGCCCGTGTCAAGGGGGCATTGAAAGTGCGAGTCTGAGAGGGTCTGAGAGTGGGTGTGCTCATGCACTTAGACCCTCTAATAGAGCCAAAGGCACAATTCGGCCCTCACTAAAAGAAGTCGTTTAATTCTACGTAGTACTTGTAATGAGGTCCTCAACGTCACTTTACCTGGAGACGCAGGAGACAACTTAACAATCCTATAGCTGCATGCTACAGCCACCAGTATTTTATTATATACTTATTTCAGCTTCCTTTCTGAGAAATCTATAAGTTTTCTCTAAATACTACATAAGCCTTGGCCAGAGCATATTCAAAATACATCATTAAAAACATCTGTAAATATTTTCTATTAATATCCATTCAGTCTATGAATGTTAAGAATCATTTATTTATGATCAAAACGATTGATTAAAGGTGTTAAATTTGATCTACAGAATGTATGTATCGAGGGATTGACTCTACACGGCTCTCAACATGGCGACACGTATGCACGGCCGGGGCCAGCTACGTAAACAGAGCACAGATGAGCTGGGATTACAACACACACACACACACACACACACACACACACACACACACACACACA